CTCCTACAAAATGAAATTATATTCACTTACAATGTAAGCTATAAACATATAAAAAAAAAGTTACTTTGCATACATGGTTGTATTTTTGTAATTAATTGTGGATGCATCACTACTTTTAAAAATGCTAAAAAAAAGCATACTTCTAAGTAAACGTTATACAAGACGCATCTGTAGAACATATTAAGTTAGTAGTACGTAGAATTAAGATTTAATAAAAGTAACAAATGACTACTTGTCAAAGCCTAGAGAGATTAAAAGGGAATTGTCACTTCTTTGAAAATTACACTATAGAATAAGACAATGAAAATCGCAGGAAACTTGTGTTAACCTTTTTTTCACGTGACACTCATTTATTTTTACTTTTGTTTAAAGATTTAACAATTGGCAACACATTCAGGTTTAGTACATGCACAATTAGAGCATACGTTGCATTACAGGAGGAGAAACAGATTTGCAATATTCACATAGGTAGTATGCCATACCTTGGTAGTCACAGGAAATACTAGAGCCTCTTTATGTCCTTGATATATACAGTTTGTGCATGTAATATGTGCAAAATGTAAAGTAAAATAAGTACATTTCTAAGCAACAATGTACAACATATTAAGCATTATACAACAATGTACAACATTTTAACTATAATCAGAAAAAAGACTGGAGAAGTCCTAAGCAGGAGAGCAAATGAAAGGGGAAGGGAGTCCCTACCTTTAATAATCCTAATGGAAAAAACAAAGTTAAAAATAGGACAGGAAAATGTAAAAGTGAAATGGGGTCTAAGACTTCCCAAAGGGAGTAGATATAGGTATCGATTGTCAGCTAAGAAAAAAACTGACTATAGGATACTCAAACTAAATGTCTAGGCCACACATCATGCACTTCATAAATGAGGCACCCGGTTAGGAGACAAAATGAGGGACTATAGGGGAAAACAACCCCCCCCCCCCCACCAAAAAGATACTAGGTACGTCCAGTAACCACAGACCCTAAAATACCTCGGTACTGGAAATGAGCGCCAGTACCTACCAAAACCTGAAAGCCCTCCATGTCCTAGTAGCTTAAAATAAGGAATAAACTAGTAGTACTGCAATAAAGTCCCAGTGGTTAAACTATGATCTCTCAGTATATAGTCAGGTAATCTTTACCTGACTATATACTGAGAGATCATATTTTAACCACTGGGACTTTATTGCAGTACTACTCAATTCTCTATGTCCTCCTAAACACATTGCAGGCAATACAACAATACCAAAACCAAGCTGTTTCTAGCTTTTGGCTTATTGGTTTTATTAAGCCGTACTATTTATGTACTGTAATTATAATCAGTACATGACTCCATGGCTGTGCCGTTTAACATTTAGTTATAATGTGCAAACTGATGATTTATTTTGGACAAGGATTGGATAGTTTGTTTTTATCTTTTCAATCTGCGAGTATAGGGTAGGTTTTTGAGAGGTAACCTTGTTGTTATTATTATCTCTTTGTTACATTTAACCACCCTTTTTCTGTCCCCACGTGGGTACCGCCTAATCTTAAGACATGTCCCCCCGCCCATGCCTGATTACGTGTCACATTATATTGGCAATTAAGGGCGATCTCGGAAATCCATTGGACTAATGAATAGCTAGGCGCGCCCCCTTGTTGATGCCACGTGTATACGTGACGCTGGAGGGACGGCCTTGAGCTTCATCAATGAATAGCTAGACACGCCCTTTTGTTTCATGACCAATGAACAGCCTGACATGCCTCTTCTTTCTACGTCACGATCGTACGTGACGTTGGAGGGATGGCTTTGAGCCCTGTGGACCAATAACTATCTAGGCATTTTTTTTCAATTAATGATCTCCACAGCTTTCAACATTTACTGTTGATTACTACTACAGCTATTTAACATCGTTCTAGGAGACTTCACAAGTTCATTGCTCCTGACGACGGCGTGCTGAAACGCCGAAACGCGCGTCGAGTTTATTTATTTATTTAATTTTCTCACTTTTTGTAGCACTTATGGATTAGTTTATTCTTTATTTGAAGCTACTAGGACAGGGAGGGCTTTCAGGTTTTGGTAGGTACTGGCGCTCATTTCCAGTACCAAGGTATTTTAGGGTCTGTTTATTACTTTGAGTGGTTACTGGACGTACCTAGTATCTTTTTTTGGGAGGGGGGGGGTTGTTTTCCCCTATAGTCCCTCCTTTTGTCTCCTAACCAGGTGCCTCATTTATGAAGTGCATGATGTGTGTGGTCTAGACTTTTAGTTTGAGTATCCTATAGTCAGTTTTTTTCTTAGCTGACAATCGATACCTATATCTACTCCCTTTGGGAAGTCTTAGACCCCATTTTCCCTTTTACATTTTCCTGTCCTATTGTTAACTTTGTTTTTTCCATTAGGATTATTAAAGGTAGGGACTCCCTTCCCCTTTCATTTGCTCTCCTGCTTAGGACTTCTCCAGTCTTTTTTCTTTTTTCTAAATATTTCTATTATCTGCGGGTTATTCCCCACTTAGGAGAGTAATATATAGGGCTCCTTTGGGCTTTGCTTCACCGGTCCATGTGATAGACCTCTGAATCAGTGCCTATATTATTATTATTAACATATTATACATATACACACATATAGATAGATAGATAGATAGATAGATAGATAGATAGATAGATAGATAGATAAAATGAAATAATGGCAATCAGTGAAGCAACTTAACCCCTTAAGGACGTAGGCTCTCTTGAGAATGACGTGTTTGTGAACAAGGCTTTTTTTGCACTTTTGCCATGCTTTCATCCGACAACAATTTCACCAGGGACATATTAGCCATGAGGCAAACAAGGCATTTGCCTTGGGCGGCACTTTCCAGGGGGCGGCAAAAAAAGCTGCCCCCAAATGCCCAGGCAAATGTCTTGTTAGCCAACGGCTAACTAAAAGTCCGGTCGGGTGGGCGGTGAGGGAGCACTGATTAGTGAGCTCTCTGCTCAGTTCCCTCGCACACCACTGTCACATATTCATCCGCTTATAGAAATGTGGTTAATGACATTTACTGTCCACACAGGAAAAGTTGTGCCGAGCAGCAACCTAATCCACAGAAGGGTTAATGCTGAGCAGTAATTGTGCAAATGAAACCTGGTGTCATGTATTCATCCGCTTAGAGAAAAGTGATTAATGACATTTACTGTCCACACAGGAAAAGTTGTGCCGAGCAGCAACCTAATCCACAGAAGGGTTAATGCTGAGCAGCAATTATGCAAATGAAACCTGGTAACTGACTTTGGGGTCAAAGGCCGGTTACAGCCTATCAGAACTAAAGGAGGGGTATTTAGGCCCAGTTCTCAGCCTGCTCAGTGCCCTGTCGTGGTTTCCCTTGTGGTTGTCTGAGAGCGCGTTCCTGTTTATAGTTTTCTACCTGGTTTTGACTTTGGCTTTGTTTATTGACTTCTCTATATTCTGGTATCCTGACTCCTGGCTTTCCTCATCGCTGTGTCCCTTTCTGTGTTCCCTGACCTCGGCTAGTATTTTTGACTATTCTTTGTACGTTAAATCCGGCCATTCTAAGGACCGGTAATACGTTACTTATTTGTCATCCGTGCTGTACAGTTCTACGTGCTGGATCAAACAAAAATCCTGACAGCCACAGAGTCACCTGGAGCCGGAATATGATGTCATATTCCAGCTCCTGGCCTCACTCTGCGGTGTGGAGGGAACTGAGCAGAGAGCTCACTAATCAGTGCTCACTCGCCAGCGCCGCCCACCCGCCCAGCAGCCCCGCTGGACCCCAGGGAAAGGGAGAACCCCCCCAGCATTCCCAAAGGTAAGGAGGCTGAGGGGGGTTGAATTTAAAAAAAAAAGTGTGTGTTAATGTGAGTGTGTGTGGCTGTTAGTAAGTGTCTGTGTCTGTTAGTGTGTGTGTCTGTTAGTGAGTGTGTGTATATCAGGGAGTTTGTCTGTTAGGGAGTGTGTTACTATGTGTGTTTGTTAGTGAGAGTGTATGCGTGTCTGTCAGTGAATGTGTCTGTTAATGAGTATGTCTGTTAGCTAGTGTATGTGTGTCTGTGTATTTAGAAGGCGGGGCGGCGCAGCGGCGGGGGGGGGGGGTGGTGGGCATCTGAGTTTTGTCATGCCTAAGGCAGCACAAAACCAGGATACACCACTGAATTTCACGCGTTCTTTTTAAATGCACTCATACATATTGTATATCAGTTTTAGGGAGAAATATTGCTTTTACTTTTATATATAACAACATTCATTAGGATTAAAATATTAATAAATTAAAGAAAAGAAAGAAAATGTTCCCTGTTTTGTGATTAATAAGTTGTACATAACAAGTGCAACAAAAGAATAGTAACTCAAAATAGATTCTTAGACGTTATAAAACAAATCTTGCAAAAAGTGAATTACAGATTTAACGCGAAAGCAAAAACGCAATACTTGGCATGCTGAGATTTCAACTTTAATAGTAGTCTCAGAGCCAGGATCTCTATGAAACCTTTTAGAAAGGTGATGCTAGCATCTATCATCATTCTAGCCCAAAGACTATTACTGCTTTAGCTCTGTGGGGGTGGGGGTCCTTTTGAGTGGAAGAGATGAGGAGTTCAGTTTTAGAAAGATTAAAGACATCAAGAAAGAGATGGAAGAAAGCAAGTTCGTGACATGCTCCAAGAGAGAAGGCAGGGGAGGAGCAGTAGATCTTCATTGTCATATAGATGGTACTGAAACCCAAAGGAGTCAATAAAGCTCACCATTTGCCAATCATTACTATATTGGCATTATTGTTACCCCGTGCCGTCAGATTCTCACCAAGCCTCCAGACCTTAAAAAAATTTCACTGAGAATACTCCTCTTTAGGAAAGCATACTATCTCCCTGGGTGCAGGGCCGTCTTTAACGCGGGGCAAACGGGGAAGCTGCCCCGGGCCCAGTTGCTCCTGGGGGCCCAGAGCAGCTGCTCTGTGGGCCCCGCGATTTGCTGGTCCCGCACACTGAGGAGGCTCCCCGGGTGGCCCATGCACTAAGGGCCACCTGGAGAGCATGTGTCAACAAGGGCCCGATCGGGCGCTGTGGCGCTTAAACAGCGCGACCGGGCCCCTCTTCCGGTTCTGCAGCCGGCTGGGAGGAGTGACGTCACTTCCTCCCACCGGAGATAGCCGCGCGGGAGGAGGAAGGCAGGGAGGAGGGGAGTTCAAGAGGAGAACTCCCATCTGCCTCAGCCTGCCACTGGACCAGGGAAACCACCCTCCAGGAAAAGGTAAGAACCTGGAGGGTGGCTAAATGTATGTCAGTAGGTCTGTCTGTGTGTGTGTGTATGTCTGTGTGTGTGTGTGTATGTCTGTGTGTGTGTGCCAGTATGTCTGTGTGTGTGTGTGTCAGTATGTCTGTCTGTGTGTGTGTGTGTGT